TTTTTGGCCTACTATGCTGGCCCGATTTGCCTAATAAGCCAAGTTTTCCTGGAATTAATATTTTTTTCTCTAATTTTTTCTATGAAAATGATAAAGCTAACCCATTTCATTATATATGAGGTCAATTTTTTTTTATTGGAGTTAAAATTAACGTAGATATATGACCAAACCTAACCAACCCTACCTAACCTAACCTATCCTATCTTTATAGGTTAGGTTAGGTTAGGTAGCCGAAAAAGTTAGGTTATATATATATATATACTAGGCAGGTGCTGCAAACTGCATCTGCCTAGTAGACCCGGAATGGTACCTTTCGGTCTATGTTTTTTTAACGGCCTCTCCGGGCATACGGGCACGGTTACGGACACAGTAGCGAGTAGTCATATTCCTAGTTATAGCGGCCAGCTGCCGTTCGCCCTTTGGGGGTGGGGGTTCCGCGCCGCTGGCCCTCGCGGGATTGGGGGTGCTCCGCCGGAACCTCCAAAGTGATAAGCCAAGACATATTACCAAGAATTGTCATTAGTGTAAATGCAAATAATGCAACTTTCAGTTATTAATTATAGATGTAACTATTAATTGTAACTGAGTTATACACTATCATTATAACGGCTATTCTCTAATATTATTTCAGGATAATAATTCATTGTTATTCACTAATCTTTATTAGTCACATAATTAATTATTATCCACTTAAACTATCTATTTTAGTCGCCATAATTAGCTATTATTCTTCGTCATAATTAATGATTATTATTATAAAAAAATTTTTATTATTATTATTAAAATAAACACGTCCCCCACTCTGTGCGCGTTTTCTTCCAACCGCAGAAAAAGCCAGACTTCGTACCATGAGAGTGTCATACTTCACACCAAGACAATACCAGACTTCACACAATCGCCATGGCAGAAGTGTGACTTCATCATGAAGTTCAAGTGGGAAATTGAACACCAGCCAGAGAGTTCATGACTTGCTACCTCTGACTCTCGCCCCTATTTTCTCTCCTACCTGAAGGACACCATTAGTGGCAAACCTTTTGAATGACACCTCACCCATCAGGAACCTTGTTGTAAAGTGACTAGTTGTACGTACTCGGTTAATTAAGAGCCGTTGGACAGAAAAGTGGTGTTATCTATGGACTGATGCCTCTAAATTTTGAACCATATGAACTAAGGTTTCCATTCTATAACCAATGTTCCAGCAATGTGTAAATATTTCATTCAAAATAATCTGCTACCAGAAATTTTAGCCAAATCTGCCCAGTTTACAAACTGTAGGTAGTAACTAAGTGGCTGTAACCTATCCATCGCTGCCCACTGGATTGGGGGGGGGGGGCGGTGTGCAGGACAAACATATCAGTTGTGACACTAGATCTCCACATATGTCAGTTGGTTAACTTAGAAACTGTACTTGTGGTCGATCTCGAACCAATTTATGATGTGACGACTGATACTGAATTTTGTAACTAGCTCATCAAGATTGTAACTTGCTTAGCTAAATGAATTATAGGGTTCAGTCCCTGAGCCCATTATGTGCCTCTTTAACCCTTTCCACTACCGTCCTCAAGATGGGTATTGGGTGCATAATAAATGAACTAAACTAACTAACTATATCACCATCTCCTTAAAGCTAGATCATTATGGCGGTCATAACGAGGTTGACTGGGTTGAAGTTTGGGGTGCTTTTTTCTTCCTTTAAACTTATTGTGGGGACGGGCTCGTGCCCAGAATTTATGTGGAATTTGTCTCTTCTGGAGGGCATGTTTCTTGATGTCTGTTGGCTCTGTGGGCTTCTCGCTGTTTTGTGGCAAGTTGAATGACCCAAGAACATTTGCAGGCGAACGGATGCCAAGTAACCTGAAGAAAAGTAATAAAGGCTAAAATATTAAATGAAATTCTTGATAAGATACACGATCTTAAGAAATGCATGTCAGGTTGGAATATATAATGAGTTAAGAATGGTTTAAAATCTTATGACTTGGTGTTACCTCCAATATACTTTATTGGCTTGTCAGTTTGTATTTATTTATTTATAAGAAGATACAATGGTTTTCTTTGTTTTATTTTTGAATAATGCACAGTACTGTATAGGTTGAAGAATTCTTAATTTATTGTAAATGGAGTTAAATATACAGCACTAGGTCTCTTTATTTGCATGGCATGTTTGCCTAGCTTTAGTCATACTTTGAGAACGTCAAAGATATACTTAATTTGAGTGTGATGTTCATGGGTTCTATTACATCTATCTAAAAAGTCTCCAGTCTGGGTTAGCACTGAGGTATAAGACTTTGGAGATGTAAATAGCACAAGTGAATGTAGAGATTATTCGTACGTGGTATATAAAAGAATTTGACCAGAGGGGCTATATGTTGTCTGATGATGAAATATGTTCTAGTTCTGTGAGCTTATTTTTACTGTGTAATGAGTGTAAAGTAAACCCAATTCCCAACAGCACTCGGTGACCTTTTTGAGCACAGATATTTCATCAAATCACCTCAAATGCAGGGTCCACGTAAGCAACATTTGTACAAACAAATGTTCCACACGCGACCCCTGAATGTGAGGTGTTTTGATAAAATATGTGCCCAAAAAGGTCACCGAGTGCTGTTAGGAAATGGGTCAAGGGTCTTATCACTTCCAATTCTTTTAACGGTCTTTGTGACCTAGTGGTGAAAGTACTGGACATGCTAAGGTGCATGGAGCCCCCTGGCTGTCTGGGTACAAATCCTTCTGGGGTGAGGAGTTTTCTGATACATATTGGCTTGGGGATAATTCAAGCTTTTTTGCATATATATATATATATATATATATATATATATATATATATATATATATATATATATATATATATATATATATATATATATATATGTATATATATATGTCGTACCTAGTAGCCAGAACGCACTTCTCAGCCTACTATGCAAGGCCCGATTTGCCTAATAAGCCAAGTTTTCATGAATTAATTGTTTTTCGACTACCTAACCTACCTAACCTAACCTAACCTAACTTTTCCGGGTACCTAACCTATAAAGATAGGTTAGATTAGGTTAGGTAGGGTTGGTTAGGTTCGGTCATATATCTACGTTAATTTTAACTCCAATTAAAAAAAATTGACCTCATACATAATGGAATGGGTAACTTTATCATTTCATAAGAAAAAAATTAGAGAAAATATATTAATTCAGAAAAACTTGGCTTATTAGGCAAATCGGGTCCTGCATAGTAGGCCAAAACGTGCGTTCTGGCTACTAGGTACGACATATATATATATATATATATATATATATATATATATATATATATATATATATATATATATATATATATATATATATATATATATATATATATATATATATATATATATATGTATATACACTAGCTGTACCCGGCCACGCGTTGCTGCGGCCCAGCAACGCGGCCTAGCAACGCGAACCTACTATGCAAGGTTCGATGTGCCTAATAAGCCAAATTTTCCCGAATTTGGTACAATATATATAGATATATATATATATACATATATGTATATATGTTGTACCTAGTAGCCAGAATGTCGTACTCGGCCAACTATGCAAGGCCGATATATATGCGAACAAGCCTGAATGGGCCCCAGGCATACATGCAACTGAAAACTCACATCCCAGAAGTGACTCGAATCCATACTGCCAGGAGCACATTGCAACTGGTGTACAGGGCACCACATCCACTCGACCATCACGACCGGACAAAAGCTAATGGAAGCCGAGGCTATTTTTGTTCCCCACGTGTGCCCCAAAGAATGAGGTGATTTGATAAAATACTATGTCGAAGATTACCATCAGAGTGCCGGCGGGCTGATGGGCAAATAGCCTGGGCTACCATCAGCTTTCGTCCGGTCGTGATGGTCGAGTGGATTAGGTGCCCTGTACACCAGTTGCAATGTGCTTCTGGCAGTATAGGTTCGAGTCACTTCTGGGGTGTGAATTTTCAGTTATATATATATATTAGTCGGTCGGATTAAACACAACAAGCATGTTGTTGTTGTTTCAGATTCAGCTACTGGGGACCAAAAGTTGCAAGTAGCGCGGGCTATGGCGAGCCCGTAGTGGACTTATCTGTCAAAGGAGCGGGGCTGTCTAAGCACTAACCAAACAGATAGTAAATTAACGAATTATAATCACTTATTCTTATGACCGCAATATATTTCTCTGTTGTCAATTATAAAAAATTATTGCCATTCGTCCTATTGGAAAATGAAAGTTAAGGGGCATAATACATATATTAAATCTAAAAAATTTGTAGGCTCAGGACATTGTGCCTCCCTTGATATTCCAGCCCTGCTTGCAATGACAGCCCCAGCGCTCATTTGCCAGACTAGTCCACTACGGGCTCACCATAGCCCGCGCTACTTGCAACCTTATGTTCCCAGTAGCTGAATCTGAAACAACAACAACATGCCTACAATGTCGGTGTTTAATCCCAGATGGACAAAGATTTAAGGGGTTGGACACCGTCCGTCACTCCAGTCCCACAGCTCTTCTGAATGTATTCCTGTAGTCATACAGGGTTAGCTTCTAATGGTTACAATGACTGCGGTTTACCTTTGTGGGACGCTTGACTCACCTCTCAGGTACGTATGGGACGGAGAGCAAGACAATAGTGACCACAAGCATGGACGACAGCACCAGCGCCCGGTACCTGCGGCCACAACACAACCAAGTGAAAATACTGTCATAAGTGTGGTATATGTACCTCATGTTTGTTTCTGGCATCTATGATAAGGCAGTATGCATTGATGTAGTGGATATAAGTTATAGCCCATATAGGATGCACTCATCTGCCATACTGCACCACCTTCCTCACCATGAAACTAATGCTAAATTGAAACATGATGTACTGCTATAATTGTTGCATCAATCAAATAGTGAGTTTGGCCATGTAGTAACTAGATGTTTGCCTCTAAACTTTAGTAACTATCCCTGTCATGCTCAATGAAAACCCGATGAATAATTGTGCAAATAAGTAAATCAATAATATATATATATATATATATATATATATATATATATATATATATATATATATATATATATATATATATATATATATATATATATATATATATATATATACACATATACAGTATGTATGTATATATGAGTGAGAGTGTTTCTGTCTATCAAAAGTTAGTCAGATGCCTGGGGGGGGGGGGGGGTAGCATCACCCAACTTTGTAGGGTAAATGGTCTGGTGTACGGGACAGGCATAGACAGGTCGGGGTTAGTCTTATTGGTGGTATTAAGAGGAGGGTCGAGCCCAATAGTGCTCCTCCCTGCCCATAATCGGTGGAAGGTGCCTTTGCAAGTCCTTAGATTTCCACTAGAAAGGCTGAAAGTGAATACAGTTGCATAATGAAATCACATTAACGTGATGAATCAATGAAAAAATCAGTATGAGTCATGAACGGGGTTTGAACCAACTCATTTGGTACTAAGCAAATGCCATTGTCCACTGCACCATGATTTGGTAAAAAGCAAGGTAACCTGAGATTTCCTGAAACCTTGAGGAGTCCTGAGGCTTCAACTGATGCCCAATCAGGGTTTCATGCATTGCCCCCATTGCCCGCCATTTTATCTGTTTCGATCTTAAATTGTAGCAGGGCTTTGGGATTTACGGCATCGATGGGTAGGCGATTCACTGGGCTTATAACCCTATGCGTTAAGAAGCATCTCCTGTTTTCTGTCTTAATTACAATGTGGCTTGTTGAGCTTGAATCCGTTGCTCCGTGTTCGTGTTACATCTGTCCTTTTGAAGAAGTAATCTGGATCAATACCTTCCAAGTTTTTCAATATTTTAAAAAGTTTCAATGAGATCAGTCCTGTTATATCTGGTTTGTAGCGCTGTTAGCCCCTGTGGCGCTCAACTGTTCCAGGTAGGTTTCCAGCTATGTAAGAAGCCCTTACGAAACGCTTCTAAGCGTCACACCATTAATAAAAAAATGATTTTTGGATTGAGATGTATTTCTTTCTTATCTCAATAAACATACTTGAACTTGATATGATAGAGCCCGGTAGGCTCAGGAACCTGTACATTACTTGATTGACAGTTGAGAGGTGGGACCAAAGAGCCAGAGGTCAACCCCCGCAAGCACAACTAGGCAACTAATTAAGTACACGCAGACACACACACACACATACGAACGGCATTCAGAAACTTGTGTAAGGAATCATTCAGAACTTTGTATACCACATATGTCAGGCCAATCCTGGAGTATGCAGCCCCAGCATGGAGTCCATATCTAGTCAAGGATAAGACTAAACTGGAAAAGGTTCAAAGGTTTGCCACCAGACTAGAACCCCGAGCTGAGAGGTATGAGCTACGAGGAAAGACTACGGGAATTAAACATCACTTCGCTGGAAGACAGAAGAGTTAGGGGGACATGATCACCACATTCAAGATTCTCAAGGGAATTGATAAGGTAGATAAAGACAGGCTATTTAACACAAGGGACACACGCACTAGGGGACACAGGTGGAAACTGAGTGCCCAAATGAACTACAGAGATATTAGAAAGAACTTTTTTAGTGTCAGAGTAGTTGACAAATGGAATGCATTAGGAAGTGATGTGGTGGAGGCTGACTTCATACACAGTTTCAAGTGTAGATATGATAGAGCCCAATAGGCTCAGGAACCTGAACACCTGTTGATTGACGGTTGAGAGACGGGACCAAAGAGCCAGAGTTCAACCCCCGCAAGCACAATTAGGTGAGTACACACATACACACACATATATATATATGACTGAAAACTCACACCCCAGAAGTGACTCGAACCCATACTCCCAGGAGCAACGCAACTGGTAACTACAGGGCGCCTTAATCCGCTTGACCATCACGGCCGGACAAAAGGAAGTGATAGCCAAGGCTATTTGAACCACTTCCCCGCCGGCAACTCGGATGGTAATCTTGGGCATAGCATTTCACCAAATCACCTCATTCTTTGGGGCACACGTGAGGAACACAAATGCGAACAAGCCTGAATGGTCCCCAGGACTATATGCGACTGAAAACTCACACCCCAGAAGTGACTCGAACCCATACTCCCAGGAGCAACGCAACTGGTAACTACAGGGCGCCTTAATCCGCTTGACCATCACGGCCGGACAAAAGGAAGTGATAGCGTGTGCCCCAAAGAATGAGGTGATTTGGTGAAATGCTATGCCCAAGATTACCATCCGAGTTGCCGGCGGGGAAGTGGTTCAAATAGCCTTGGCTATCACTTCCTTTTGTCCGGCCGTGATGGTCAAGCGGATTAAGGCGCCCTGTAGTTACCAGTTGCGTTGCTCCTGGGAGTATGGGTTCGAGTCACTTCTGGGGTGTGAGTTTTCAGTCGCATATAGTCCTGGGGATCATTCAGGCTTGTTCGCATTTGTGTTCCTCACGTGTGCCCCAAAGAATGAGGTGATTTGGTGAAATGCTATGCCCAAGATTACCATCCGAGTTGCCGGCGGGGAAGTGGTTCAAATAGCCTTGGCTATCACTTCCTTTTGTCCGGCCGTGATGGTCAAGCGGATTAAGGCGCCCTGTAGTTACCAGTTGCGTTGCTCCTGGGAGTATGGGTTCGAGTCACTTCTGGGGTGTGAGTTTTAAGTCGCATATAGTCCTGGGGACCATTCAGGCTTGAGAGAGAGAGAGAGAGTGTGTGTGTGTGAGAGTGGGGGGGGGGGTTAGGTAGACAGACAGACAGACCTGGACAATGCCGGGTACCCCCTGAAGTAATGTATAAATGTGTGATACTGGAAAACTGAGCAGTGGTCTTGACAATTAAGGCGACAAGTGTTGCACTGGAGCTCACTAACACCGTCCACACTAACACTTGCACACTTCCCTACCGTCTAACAAATATTTGTTAGAAGGTAATTTGTAAAGTTATTTTCATCATTTGTCGCATCATTTGTAAAGTCACTTATAGCAATAAATTGTAAATAATTGGACATGTATATTAAACAATTGTACCTGTGTGAGGCGATGAGGGTAGGGAGTGTGTGCCTGCACCAGTACACCCAGGGGAACACAGGCTGTGGTACACTCCCCAGCATGTTCAATACATGCCGATATAGTTCCTTTCTCAACCTAATAATGACAAAAATATGTATATTAATTTTTTGTTGATTTTAGCTCAAGTTACTTTATCAATGTAAGAAGTTGTTATTAAGAAAGTTTTATAATTTTTAATGGGGGTTCATAATATGATCCTGCATGAAAAAGTGGGAAAGTTTCTGTAGGAAGAAATCGTCTGCCTCACTGGCTGCGCCTGGATGAGCGCGCACCAAAACAGGGTATTTAATGCGGTCAGCAGGGGTCATTTCCCCACCCCCTCCTCGCTCCTGTGCCAGGTAAGTTTACTACGCTCACCATAGCCCGTGCTACCTGAAAATTTTTGTTCCGAGTAGCTGAATCTAAATCAACAGGGGTCACAACCTCCTCTAAACCAGCAAACGGGACCGCACAACACGTAGACTGGACTCTTATGAAAGCACACGCGCCCCTTCTCCTCGCCTCGCCATGTGCTCTGGGCAGATTGTCGCTCCCACCAGCCGCGGACTGCTACTGTCGGGAATTCAACTACGCAAAACTCGTAATAGTTTATCCAGTGGACCTCATTAATCATCTGGCCCCCATGAGCGCACGGAGGACGCCGGGACTTGCCAACGCCACCCTCAGGTACAGCACCACGCCACGTGGTCCCCACCGCCAGGTCTTCTCCAGATCTTCTTAAACTCTGCAAACTTTGAACTTCCCTACCCCTTCAGGGGTACAAGCGTGGGTGCCCTCTTGGCGCCAGGACCGTCCTCCGTCACCGGCGCCCACAGACATCGCGACCGCCTGCTTCAGGTACAGTTTAGTTACTCTCGTTGACGCCGTCCCGTGTTCTTACAAGAGTTCTTACATTCTCGTACAGCCACTAGCACGCATAGCGTTTCCGGCAAGTCCTTAATCATATGTTTCCCGGAATACGACCCACCAAATCGTTTAACAACCAGGTACCATTTTACTGTTGGGTAAACAGCTAGAGGCTACAGTTAAGGATTGACGCCCAGTAAATCCTCCCCGGCCAGGATACAAACCCAGGACAAAGCACTCGCGAAACGTCAGGAGAGTGTCTTACCACTACGCCACGGGACAGCACCAGGGACCGCCCACACCTCGACCACAGCACCAGGGACCGCCCACAGTGTTACCGCCGCCCCCACCCCCACTCACCTCGTTTGTGCCTAGTGCCCCCCAGACGTTTGCCCAACGTCCGGCTTGCCCCTGTCGCCCTCCTACAGTAAAAAATCCTTGACAGGCGGTCGAAGTTTGGTCGAGCATGCCTCGTGTTTGGCCGGGCAAGCCTCGTACGTGTCTGGTCGGGAAAGCCTTGTGTCTGGTCGGGTAGGCCACGTGTTTGGTCTAGCAAGCTGCGTGGTCGGTTGGGTAGCCTCGTGGCTGGTGGTCAAGCCTCATGTTTGGTCGAGCAAGCCTTGTGTTTGGTCGAGCAAGCCTTGTGTTTGGTCGAGCAAGCCTTGTGTTTGGTCGAGCAAGTCGCGGGTCTGGTCAAGTATGCTGCGGGTTTGGTCGAGCATACCTCGAGTTAGGTTGCCTCCCGTCCTCCCTCTTCGCCTCCGTGAGCTGGTCGCCACCCCTCCCCCTATTTCCGCCCGCCACTGCCCCCGCCTGCGCGCCCTATCCGCCACCGTGCCCGCCCGGGCCCGCCGCTTCGCCGCATGCTCTTTATCAAATTCAAAATACAAAATGTTTATTCAGGCAAAAGTATATACATAGAAGATGAGTTACAAACATAATGTTGGATTTATGGATAGAGCTAGTACATACAATACCTAAAGCCACAAATACGCACAGTTTTTATAAATAAATAAATAAATAAATAAATAAATGTTTATTCAGGTAAGGTACATACATACAAGAGGTTTTACAAAAATTGATAGATTTATAGATAGAGCTAGTACATACAATGCCTAAAGCTACTATTACGCAAAGCGTTTCGGGCAGGAAAAACATTAAAGACTAAAACTTAATACTAATTGAGATTAAAGTATAAAATGTGTTGAGAACAATCAAAAATAAAAATAAAAATAAAAAAGGGGGGAACATGGCAGAAAAAGCAGCACAAATACAATTAGGTCGACAAACAGCGTTGTTTAAAAAACAGACATGGGTTGACAATATAGGGGTAAGGTAGGTTACAGGGAATTTATTAGGTAGTACTTAGTTTTTATCAGTTTGGTTGAGAGAGGTACAGTCTTTAACATGATTGGGAAGGTCATTCCACATTCTGGGTCCCTAGATTTGTAGAGCATTTCTAGTTTGGTTAAGTCGTACTCTTGGAATATCAAAACTGTATTTGTTTCTGGTGTGGTGCTCATGGGTTCTGTTACAACCTTCAATGAAGCTTTTGAGGTCAGGATTGGCATTACAGTTCAGCGTTTTATATATGTATAATACACATGAGAGAATGTGCAGTGACTTAATATCTAACATATTCAGAGATTTGAGAAGGGGTACCGAGTGATGTCTGGGGCCAGAGTTGGATATTGTCCTAATAGCAGCTTTGTGTTGAGTAATTAGGGGACGTAAATTATTTTGGGTAGTAGAACCCCAAGAACAAATACCATAATTGAGATATGGATAGATGAGGGAGTAATAGAGCGTCACCAGGGCAGGGCGAGGTACATAATATCTGATCTTAGAAAGAATGCCAACAGTTTTTGAAACTTTTTTTGATACATTTAGAATGTGTCTCTGGAAATTCAGCTTGTGGTCAATGAGTTTGCTTTTCGGGCAAACAGTGTTTTCCCGTCAAAAACAGCACCGCTTTTCTGCAAAAAGCAGTGGCCATTTCTTCCTTCTTTTTTTTTTTTTTTTTTTTTTTTTTTTTTTAGATATATATGAGTTGTTAGATTCTTGTACAGCCACTAGTACGCGTAGCGTTTCGGGCAGGTCCCTGGAATACGACCCCCACGAAGAATCGTTGTTACAACCAAGTATCTATTTTACTGTTGAGTTAAACAGAGGCTACAGTTAAGGATTTGCGCCCAGTAAATCCTCCCCGGCCACGATACGAACCCATGACATACTTATCTTGTGATAAGTATGTTGCAAGGCAATAATTTTCAATGTACACTGTACTTTGATCCCGCCAATAAGCTATATTTCCCATTCCTCAAACCAATCTTAAAGGATTTTGAAAGGATGAATTTAGTTTATACAAAATATGAAGCAGATCAGTGTAGCCTTAATTCACACTGACTTAGAAAACTTCACTCTTGGAATATTCGGAAGAATCCTACATCCTGATCATGCAAAGCTTGATGTTAATTTGGACTTAAATTCCATTTATCTGCCCCTGGAGAAAGTGGACATTGGTCCTATTAAGTTTTCTACACTTTTGGCCACTAACAATCAAACAAAAAATGCTATAAACCAGGAAAAGCTTCAAAATGTTCAAGAAAGATGCCATAAATTTTTGGTGAAAGCTTGCAAAGAGCTTCTTTCTCACATTCTTAGTAATCCTGAAACTTTCAAAAAGGTGAAAAAAAATTCAAAAAGGTTAAAACAATTGTTGCTTATCATTTGAACCACCAATGTCAGTGATAAAATATGAGTGCAATATACAAGAATGAGGTTGTGGATACAGACGAAGATCTTGATAATCTTCAACTGTGAAGACGAGGAATTGCAGTGATAATATTAATACAACCATTAAAGCATGTAGTGTTTCTCTATGTATTAAAATATATTACTCTGAAAACCGTATCAGTCGCTAAACAAAATATTAGGCTACTTTAATTACAAATTCGCTACTTATAGGCCGTCAGCTCGCTACTTTTATCAATTTGTTTTTTGTATTTTAATTCGAATCTGGCAACCCCTTCTTTGAGGAGGGAGGGATGGTGGTGGGGGGGGGACGGCACCAGCTGGCCCTGCTGGTGGACAATGCTGGCAGTGTCCCCCCAGAACCCCTCAAAGTGATAGGCTTCCACTTCTGGCAGTAACCTTAGTATACATGGCAGCTCAGTTGACTTTTGTAACCCATTTAACCCATAATTAATTAAGACTACCATTAATGCTTACTTAAGGAATAAATTCACACTGCACAAATAAGTTACGGGAAGAATGTACGATTGCTAGAGACATGAAAGTAAAAGACTCTTTTACAAATTACAGGTTTGTCAGGCAACATCACCGTGACAAGGTAACTGAGGAAAGGAGGATAGAAGCACAGACCAGTGAATCTGTACGATGGTACAACATGGTTGCAGCTGGCAATCCCAATCATTATAAACGAAGAGGAGGAGGACGCGGGAGAGAGTCAGCAATACTGAGAATCCGTATTGGATACAAATATCTATGGAGATACGGAACGGAAACAACAGTTGATCAGCAAAGTTGTTTGAGTTAGGAAATCACTATTTGTCAAATATTGATACTGCTCTTAAAAAATTCCCCCATTTTGCACCCGCAAGATAACGTAAGCTTTTAAGGGTTGACAGATGTTAATCTTATTGTTTGAGGAGCTGTTCACTTGAGACAGTTAAGCAAGTCCCAGCTGTGTCTGGGTACAAGTGACAGGATGAACAACCCAGCGGGTTTTCTTCCTATTGGGGAGTGTTGTACATATTTGCTGCTATGGCGGTGTGTCCACTCACAGAATGAGTGGCGCTGCCCAATAAACTCGCCCCTCGGGGCAAAATTAAAAAAAAAATAGTAACTAACCTATAAATAATTGTAATAACAGTGAATATTAATTCATGCTAAACAATATTATTTAATAAATTAGTCCCATTCCATTGCAGAGTTTCAGAGTACAGACAATTTTTTAATTATCAGTTTTTATTTTTTTAAATTTATTTATTTATTTATTTATTTATATATATACAAAAAGGTACATTGGGATTGTGAGGATACATATAGCATAGTAATTACATTCTTGTAAAGCCACTAGTACGCGCAGCGTTTCGGGCCGGTCCTTAATCTAAGAAACTTATAAGTAGGTAAATACTTGCAAAACTTATAAAAATTATAAATGATGAGTTAGTTCATATAATGTTACTGTGACACGCCACCAGGGGCGGCACCTGGTCCACCCACCACCACCACAGTCGTGTGACACGCCACCAGGGGCGGCACCTGGTCCACCGACCACCACCACAGTCGTGTGACACGCCACCAGGGGCAGCACCTGGTCCACCCACCACCACCACAGTCATGTGACACGCCACCAGGGGCAGCACCTGGTCCACCCACCACCACCACAGTCGTGTGACACGCCACCAGGGGCGGCACCTGGTCCACCGACCACCACCACAGTCGTGTGACACGCCACCAGGGGCAGCACCTGGTCCACCCACCACCACCACAGTCATGTGACACGCCACCAGGGCGGCACCTGGTCCACCCACCACCACCACAGTCGTGTGACACGCCACCAGGGGCGGCACCTGGTCCACCGACCACCACCACAGTCGTGTGACACGCCACCAGGGGCAGCACCTGGTCCACCCACCACCACCACAGTCATGTGACACGCCACCAGGGGCGGCACCTGGTCCACCCACCACCACCACAGTCGAGTGACACGCCACCAGGGGCGGCACCTGGTCCACCGACCACCACCACAGTCGTGTGACACGCCACCAGGGGCAGCACCTGGTCCACCCACCACCACCACAGTCATGTGACACGCCACCAGGGGCGGCACCTGGTCCACCCACCACCACCACAGTCGTGTGACACGCCACCAGGGGCGGCACCTGGTCCACCGACCACCACCACAGTCGTGTGACACGCCACCAGGGGCAGCACCTGGTCCACCCACCACCACCACAGTCGTGTGGGAACTCGATACATGCTTTTCAAACCTCATCCTGGTCTCCAGTGCCTCGCTAGCAGTGACAGGTGTGATGGACAATGACCTCACTCACAGCTTTTACTGAGCTGTTACTTCCCAGCCATCGACAATGCTCCGCTACTGTTAAGATCTCACTGTTACAGACAACACCACACATTGGCACTGCTCCCTAGCTGCCAACACCACACTACACTGGCACTGCTCCCTAGCTGCCAACGCCACACTACATTGGCACGCCACAAACGCCAACACCACACCCTTCTCTGACAAGTTACGACACCGAGCAGGGGCACTAACGTAGAGAGGGAGAGAGTTCACCTCTCACATATATAGACAGAACTGGAGCTCGCGACCTGCCCCTAGTGTGTACACCTGCTCCCATTACCACACCACCTGCACCTCTCTCTCTCACTATGCTCTACCGTCACACATCACCATCACACCACTACCGTCACACACCACTACTATCATGCACCACTACCGTCACACACCACTACCGTCACACACCACTACTATCATACACCACTACCGTCACCCACCACTACTATCATGCACCACTACCGTCACCCACCACTACTATCATGCACCACTACCGTCACCCACCACTACTATCATGCACCACTACCGTCACCCACCACTACCGTCACCCACCACTATAGTCACACACTACTACCATCACCCACCACTACCGTCACCCACCACTACTATCATGCACCACTACCGTCACCCACCACTATTATCATGCACCACTACCGTCACCCACCACTATAGTCACACACTACTACCATCACCCACCACTACCGTCACCCACCACTACTATCATGCACCACTACCGTCACCCACCACTACTATCATGCACCACTACCGTCACCCACCACTATAGTCACACACTACTACCATCACCCACCACTACCGTCACCCACCACTACTATCATGCACCACTACCGTCACCCACCACTATAGTCACACACTATTACCATCACCCACCACTACCGTCACCCACCACTACTATCATGCACCACTACCGTTACACACCAGGGGGGAGGGGAGGGGCCTTTGGAAGGGCCTCGTAGCCTGGTGGATAGCGCGCAGGACTCGTAATTCTGTGGCGCGGGTTCGATTCCCGCACGAGGCAGAAACAAATGGGCAAAGTTTCTTTCACCCTAAGTGCCCCTGTTACCTAGCAGTAAATAGGTACCTGGGAGTTAGTCAGCTGTCACGGGCTGCTTCCTGGTGTGTGTGTGTGTGTGTGTGGTGTGGGAAAAAAAAAAAAAAAAAAAAAGTAGTTAGTAAACAGTTGATAGGCGGGCCGAAAGAGCAAAGCTCAACCCCCGCAAAAACACAACTAGTAAACACACCACTACCGTCACCCACCACTACTATCATGCACCACTACCGTCACCCACCACTACCGTCACCCACCACTATCGTCACCCACCACTACTGTCACACACCACTACCGTCACCCACCACTACCGTCACACACCACTACCGTCACACACCACTACCGTCACACAATACTACCGTCACCCACCACTACTGTCACACACTACTACCATCACCCACCACTACCGTCACACACCACTACCGTCACACACCACTACCATCACACAATACTACCGTCACCCACCACTACCGTCACACACTACTACCATCACCCACCACTACCGTCACACACCACTACCGTCACCCACCACTACTATCATGCACCACTACCGTCACCCACCACTACTATCATGCACCACTACCGTCACCCATCACTATCGTCACCCACCACTACTGTCACACACCACTACCGTCACCCACCACTACCTTCACACACCACTACCGTCACACACCACTACCGTCACACAATACTACCGTCACCCACCACTACTGTCACACACTACTACCATCACACACCACTACCGTCACACACCACTACCATCACACAATACTACCGTCACCCACCACTTCCGTCACACACTACTACCATCACCCACCACTACCGTCACACACCACTACCGTCACCCACCACTACCGTCACGCAATACTACCGTCACCCACCACTACCGTCACACACTACTACCATCACCCACCACTACCGTCACACACCACTACCGTCACCCACCACTACCGTCACACACCACTACCGTCACCCACCACTACCGTCACCCACCACTACCGTCACCCACCACTACCGTCACACACCACTACCGTCACACACCACTACCGTCACCCACCACTACCGTCATCCACCACTACCGTCACACACCACTACCGTCACACACCACTACCGTCACCCACCACTACCGTCACACACTACTACCGTCACCCACCACTACCGTCACACACCACTACCGTCACACACCACTACCGTCACCCACTACTACTATCATGCACCACTACCATCACACACCACTACCGTCACACACTACTACCGTCACCCACTACTACCGTCACACACTACTACCGTCACCCACCACTACCGTCACACACTACTACCGTCACCCACCACTACCGTCACACACTACTACCGTCACCCACCATTACCGTCACACACTACTACCGTCACCCACCACTACCGTCACCCACCACTACCGTCACCCACTACTACCGTCACACACTACTACCGTCACCCACCACTACCGTCACACACTACTACCGTCACCCACCACTACCGTCACACACTACTACCGTCACCCACCACTACCGTCACACACTACTACCGTCACCCACCACTACCGTCACCCACTACTACCGTCACACACTACTAGCGTCACACACCACTACCGTCACCCACCACTACCGTCACTCACCACTACCGTCACACACTACTACCGTTGTCCACCACTACCGTCACCCACCACTACCGTCACACACTACTACCGTCACCCAACACTACCGTCACACACTACTACCGTCACACACCACTACCGTCACACACTACTACCGTCACACACCACTACCGTCACCCACCACTACCGTCACCCACCACTACCGTCACACACCACTACCGTCACACACCACTACCGTCACCCACCACTACCGTCACACACCACTACCGTCACCCACCACTACCGTCATCCACCACTACCGTCACACACCACTACCGTCACACACCACTACCGTCACCCACCACTACCGTCACACACCACTACCGTCACACACCACTACCGTCACCCACTACTACTATCATGCACCACTACCATCACACACCACTACCGTCACACACTACTACCGTCACCCACCACTACCGTCACACACTACTACCGTCACCCACCACTACCGTCACACACTACTACCGTCACCCACCATTACCGTCACACACTACTACCGTCACCCACCACTACCGTCACCCACCACTACCGTCACCCACTACTACCGTCACACACTACTACCGTCACCCACCACTACCGTCACACACTACTACCGTCACCCACCACTACCGTCACACACTACTACCGTCACCCACCACTACCGTCACACACTACTACCGTCACCCACCACTACCGTCACCCACTACTACCGTCACACACTACTAGCGTCACACACCACTACCGTCACCCACCACTACCGTCACTCACCACTACCGTCACACACTACTACCGTTGTCCACCACTACCGTCACCCACCACTACCGTCACACACTACTACCGTCACCCAACACTACCGTCACACACTACTACCGTCACACACCACTACCGTCACACACTACTACCGTCACACACCACTACCGTCACCCACCACTACCGTCACCCACCACTACCGTCACACACCACTACCGTCACACACCACTACCGTCACCCACCACTACCGTCACCCACTACTACCGTCACACACTACTAGCGTCACACACCACTACCGTCACCCACCACTACCGTCACTCACCACTACCGTCACACACTACTACCGTTGTCCACCACTACCGTCACCCACCACTACCGTCACACACTACTACCGTCACCCAACACTACCGTCACACACTACTACCGTCACACACCACTACCGTCACACACTACTACCGTCACACACCACTACCGTCACCCACCACTACCGTCACCCACCACTACCGTCACACACCACTACCGTCACCCACCACTACCGTCAACCACCACTACCGTCACACACCACTACCGTCACACACCACTACCGTCACCCACCACTACCATCACACACTAGTACCGTCACCCACCACTACCGTCACACACCACTATCGTCACACACCACTACCGTCACCCACTACTACTATCATGCACCACTACCATCACACACCACTACCGTCACACACTACTACCGTCACCCACTACTACCGTCACACACTACTACCGTCACCCACCACTACCGTCACACACAACTACCGTCACCCACCACTACCGTCACACACTACTACCGTCACCCACCATTACCGTCACACACTACTACCGTCACCCACCACTACCGTCACCCACCACTACCGTCACCCACTACTACCGTCACACACTACTACCGTCACCCACCACTACCGTCACACACTACTACCGTCACCCACCACTACCGTCACACACTACTACCGTCACCCACCACTACCGTCACACACTACTACCGTCACCCACCACTACCGTCACCCACTACTACCGTCACACACTACTAGCGTCACACACCACTACCGTCACCCACCACTACCGTCACTCACCACTACCGTCACACACTACTACCGTTGTCCACCACTACCGTCACCCACCACTACCGTCACACACTACTACCGTCACCCAACACTACCGTCACACACTACTACCGTCACACACCACTACCGTCACACACTACTACCGTCACACACCACTACCGTCACCCACCACTACCGTCACCCACCACTACCGTCACACACCACTACCGTCACACACCACTACCGTCACCCACCACTACCGTCACACACCACTACCGTCACCCACCACTACCGTCATCCACCACTACCGTCACACACCACTACCGTCACCCACCACTACCGTCACACACCACTACCGTCACCCACCACTACCGTCATCCACCACTACCGTCACACACCACTACCGTCACACACCACTACCGTCACCCACCACTACCGTCACACACTACTACCGTCACCCACCACTACCGTCACACACCACTACCGTCACCCACTACTACTATCATGCACCACTACCATCACACACCACTACCGTCACACACTACTACCGTCACCCACTACTACCGTCACACACTACTACCGTCACCCACCACTACCGTCACACACTACTACCGTCACCCACCACTACCGTCACACACTACTACCGTCACCCACCATTACCGTCACAC